TTTGGTGCCAGCGTTTAGAGATATCTGTCTGAGGTTTACTCTCTCCTCCTAATGCATGGAGCTCAATGGGTTTTGTTCATGGTGCTCTTAGCTAGAGTTGCACTGACCCGATTGGATTGGTATCGGTGCTGATACTAACCCAGTTAAGTGGAGCGGTAATCGGACATGACGTGACCGAGTTCTCCGCTCTTACCATATCAGTTACCTTCATTCAGTTGTTAGTTCAATCATTGGTCTCGTGTTACCTTACATACATCTTACCCTTGGTTTCATTGGTATGTCTGCCTTATTAGATAGTGAACGCTTGCAGAAAGGAAGGAAGAAGGGGTCTTTGGTTGTGTTGGTACCTGCTGGTACTAAGATAAGATAAGATGGACCTGTATTAATCCCCGTTGGGAAATTCAGGTATACTCACGTTTTTACAATAAGCAGCTTCTTCAGATGCACCTGTACATATTATTAATGATTTCTCTGTAGTGAGGTATAAAAAATGTTGTACAGTTGTTGTTTTTCACCTGTAGGGAACTGAAACAGTGACGAAGGTGGAAATAAAATGTATCTACAACTGTTTTGTTAATCTTTTTTATAGCAAAACACTAAACATATTCCCTTCTTTTAGCCTCTCGAGCAGAAGGATTTAGCTTCTATTCTTTGTTTTATGTGACATGATGTGTTGAACACCTTGTGAAATCCAAATAGGTCCAATTGACAAGCAATTCGAAGCTGTGGGCAAACGTGACGTATCACCTGTCATTATATGTTCTTACATTCAATTGACCAACCAATTAAGGGAGATACCAATCAGCAGATTTATAGTTTGAGTTTCGTTTGCTTTGATCCACAGGCGCCAGTTTTCTCTGGACTTCATTGGAAATAGGTCCTATGAAGACGGATATCTCAAAACCTGGACATATAAAATGAAAACCAAGTCTCATACGTTGTTATTCCCACAATTTATGACCTCTTTTCCTTGTAACTCCTCCCAGGCGTCTAATAGCAGGCTGTAATATCACTCACATTTGTTCTCGCAGCAATGGGACAAGAGTCTATTAGAAACTTACTGACCTTAGCAAGCGTTTTCTGTTCAGCAGAACAACGAGTGGAGGACAGAAAGAGCAGTTCTCGTCCCTGGTGGCTCGGTGTGAAGCGACACGGGTCTTATTAAGTGGACCAGGTTTAACAGTGTTGTGAAAATAGTGAATGTCCTCTTCCAATATGAGAGTCCACATGATAACAAAGGTACCCCAACTGTAGCTGTGTACATGACAGGATGTATGATTACCTAGAAGAGCATCAGGACTGTTTTAGGCATATGATAGCTATGTGATTAACATGATGATTCAGCCTCTATGGAGATAGACATATGACAAGCATGATCATTTCTGATGTGGAGCTCATCTGAAGTAAACATTGAATACTGCTTTCTATTCCTCCATCTTGTGACTGTGTAACTCCCTCTCTTGGATATCAGCATGTGAAGGACACTGTTCAGGAACTAGTTGATGCTCTGGATGTGATGACTACTTCCATTCTGGAGAGGATCAGAAATACATGGATCCTGAGATTGAAGCTCAAGCCGGTGACCAGTGAGAACAAACAGCGAGCCTCAGCACACGACTCATGGAACAAATGAGTGTTCGCTTCCCTCACCTGCTCACTGTGCAGAAATGTCAGAGAGAGAGAGAAGCAGCCGGCAGGTCTCAGGTCCGCCGTCCATCAAACCTCCCTGAGTCGACCAATTCTCTGAGTGATGAACACTTCCAGGAAAAAACGGGGGGCTCGAGGATCGATTATACGTCAGGCGAATGAATCAATCCCTTTGTAATCTCTTGTGGTTTTATTTCCAGGCTTGCCGTCATGGCATCCGAGTAAAACAACACGGTTTGACTAAACTGAAACGCGTGATTTGACGCAACACTTTTCCAACTCAAAGGTTTAAAATTAGAGCAAAAAGACACAAAGATGTTCTTGTATTTCTTCTTTCAGCTTCTCTTCAAGGGGTTTCCTGGCTGTGTAAAGCAGGGTAGCGTTGGTCTGTTTATTCATATGGATTTATTACCTCTGTTCCCGTTGTCTGAGCATGAACTTTTCCTCCTTTGCGGTGAAATAAACAACGTCACCGCAGCGTATAAAGGACACACAGAAGGCAGCAGCTTGTTGAAATCTTACACCGGCCTGCTCAAAGTCATTTTCTGAGCGAGGGACCTCTGCAGACGTGTCGGACTCCTTGATGAAATGGAATAATCTTGGCCGAGGTCTCGATGTAGGCTTGTAAATCAGGCCTTAAATGGCCAGCTGACAACTGAACGTCAGCGAAACGAGCAGGTAGCAATCGGCCTGAGCAGAAAGCAGAGGCGCTCTTCGATTCCTCCGTTTCCCCCGCTCCAGTCTTTGTTTTATTAAGGTTTTAGTGAACACATAGCCCGGTGAAAAGCTCCCAGATATTGAAGATACAGCTGGAAGTAGCTTTCTCAGCATATGACTGAAACGGTTTCCAAAACGGTAACTGCATAGTCTTCTGTCATTGGTTTCTGTTCTTTTTATTTGAAGTTAGCTACATCACTTTTTTTGGACTCTTCAACCAAGAATTGCTCTCATTTTCCTCACTGAGGTTTTGCTTTGAATGAATCCCTTTCAAGGTTCCTCGACACAACAATTTGACGCTTTGCTTTGGAATCTGAACTATATAACATGCTGTCTTTAAAAGCTGTCTCACTCTGAGGGGTCGAAGGTGAACAGGACGAACTGTACTGCCCCAAATATCATGATGTCCTGAGAAACCTTTCCTCATTGTTTGTTGTTGAATTTAACGTCTTAAAAAAATAAATAAACCAAGCTTCTGTCACATTTCTCTGACATTTCTTGGACCTAATTTCAGTACAAACTGTTTTTCTTTTTACCAGTCTCTAATTCTATTTGTCCAAATTAACCACACGTAAACAAAAAATGGTCACACCCTATTAGACACGCAACCATGGCAGCCATAAAAGCAAGTAAAACATGTCTTAATGATGGAGTAGTTTTACCCTGAACTATTTTAATTTGGCGAAGGAAGAAAGGAAACGGGACATTGTTTTCAAATGGATACAAACCATTAAAGAAAATAATAAAAAAAAACTTTATTTACAGAAAGGTCTGCTTCTATGAACTCTGTAATTGTTACTGCACAGAATATGGGATTCATCGTGAGAGGAAATAAAAAAGTTGGAGATACGTTTGACTTCACTTTAAACATTCCTAGGTCCTTTAAACAGACTAGACGGAGGCAACACAGCTGCTTTCCTTCATAAGTAGACGGGAAAACACTTTAAATGACATCAGGGGGAAGAATAAAGTGTTTCTGGTCACTCCAAATTACAGTCATCTGCACCCCTTATCCCCGAGGCCACTCCTGACCAAATAGCTGCCTAATGACCTTATCTAAATGTAATCACACCTTAATAGCTTTGAGGTAGGACGGGACATCGAGCCTAATTTGAGGGCTGCACCTAATGAGACCAGGTGGAGACGGGAAGTAAGTGGAGCATTTGTCATGTGAGCAACTTCTTTCTACACAAAGTTGGTGCAATGTTGCAATGAGTTCTTTAGTCGTACTTTCTCATGATGAAGAATAACCAATTATTTTATAATATTCATTATGTTTGGTGGTCAAATCTTTGAAATCAGACCCTTAAGACTTTGATGCATTTTCAAAGTAAGATAAGATAAGATGTACTTTATTAATCCCAATTTGTGAATTGTTTTTGTTGCAGCAGCATAAAACAAAACAAGAAAATGCACATAATAACAAATTAAAACAGTAGAAATAAATAATTCTAAAACAGGGTGTCCGCGGGGTCTTAAAAAGTATTAAAAGTTGATAAATCAATTTAGCGAAAAGTAAGGCTATTAAAAAGTATTAAAAGGCATTTTCCAAGGTATTACATTGTGTAGCTTGTTTTCAATAAGTATATAAATGGTCCAAAGAGGTTGTATTCTACAGTCTGCCTGAATGTAATCATTGCGTAGGTGTGTAGTGTGATTCTGTGTAGTTTATTTATGGCTTCCCGTTGGATTTGACGTCATCTGAACAGGACATCGCACGCTCACTGCTTGATAGCGCGCGAAGCTCCGTTTACGCCGGTTGTTAAGCAACATCGTTATGGGGAAATGCTAGTTTGCGTCCAAATGGTTGGAAGATAAGGAGGAAGGACAATCAATACTGTATATAGTCAATGTGAGGTAAAGTGTGTCGCCAATGTAACCGGTTAAAACTCCAAGTGGCGATGAGGTCTTAAAATGTATGGAAAGGGTCTTAAAAAAGGTCTTAAAAGGTCTTACATTTGACTTCAGGATTCCTGCATATACCCTGTAAAATATAAACATCTCAAAGTAGAAAGTAGTAGTATATCAGCACACTCAGTATTGTTTTCTCAGATTTTGTACTCGGTCATAGCAGTGGTTTTTCATTTAATGGTTCTCTACAAGTCAGACTCATGTGCTATTCTAGTTGTCCACTGTGATAATGATGACCTGTACAGTTGGCTCGTGTATTGATGAAGAAACGTTTACCTAATATGCTATTTGCTAATGTGCCCAAACTTCAGTGGTGGAAAAATTATTTAGATATAATACCTAATTAAGTTGAAGTACAAGTGTGCAAAAATACTTAATTCAAACATTTAAAAGTACATTAAAAAGACATTTTCAGACAAACAACAAAGATCGATATTTTTCACATACAATACATAATAATCTTATACACTATAATTTGTTCATCTATGTTGTCCTTTTTCTTTTCTGTTTGTCTGTGTACATTTAGAGCAGTGTCAGTTTCCTTGTAGCGCAATCATAATTTGCCAATAAAGTTGGTTCTGATTCTAAAATCTGGTCAACGAATAATAAAAAAGCAGCTTTTTTGATGGGTATTAAAGAAGAATCAAGGGTCCAACACCAATCCCTACTTTGACAATGAACTGTTATATGATTCTGACCTTTATTTTGTCTGCCTTTTGTTGCAGAAATGTGAGTTCAACATGGATAACCTGAGCAAGCCCGAGCTGCTCACCCTGCTGAGCATCATGGAGGGAGAGCTGGAGGCCCGCGACCTGGTCATCGAGGCCCTGAGGGTGAGTCCGGAAAGCACACAAGAACACGTACAATAACACACGCTCCTGTATTCATTAGCTAAGCCTCTGCTATCTTAACCATTGTCGGGGTTAAATCAAACAGCTCGGAGCAAACCGCCTTTGAGATGAGCCGATAAGCTGTAATAATGACCCAGAATTGAGTTGTTCAATGAGTGATGAATGGTGACCAATGCCTGCTAAATGAGTGTGTTATTATCAGTGGCTTTTTCCCCAGAAATGTGCAGAACACTTGTGTGATCACGACGAGAGACTCTGCCCCACTGTTCCTTTCTTTGCTTTGTAATTACCCGCTGATAAGCAGTGTCTCTAATTGTGTCTGTTGGACGGGAGCTGGCTGAGCGACTGGTTTGCGCCTCCTGCCAGAAAAGGCCAGCGTGATCAAACCCTAGTGTCCAAACAAGCGCCACCTGCTGAAGTATCAGAACCAAACAGATGGTGGAAGTCACTGCTTCTGGCTCCTGTTGGTCCCTACTGACTACTGACAACCAATTAGGAAGGTGCCGCTTGATTTAAAGGTGAAATTGTTGTTTTATATTGGCATATGCAGCTGAAGTTTTGGCTGAAATACAAGGAAACAATGTATGTATGGAGTGGATTTGAGTCCATCCGCTATTTGCAGAAGTCTGTCTGTCCGAAGATTGTCTGGTAAAACAGATAGATAAGCGACGGATGCATTCGGTTTGCTTTTTTATGTATTTTTGCAAGAATTTGGCTGAAATACAAGGGACTAGTGGTAAACTATATGTAGTGGATTAGAAGATGGTTAGTCAGTCCATCAAGTATTTGCAGAAATCTGTCCGTCTGAAGATTGTCTGGTAAAACAGATAGATGAGAGACGGATGCATTCAGTTTGCTTTTGTGTGTATTTTTGGGTTTTGTTTCTAAATGTTTGAGCCATTTTGATTTGTCTTGTGGTTTAAAAAAGTAATTTGCAGACAATTGGATGTCCTTTATTCCCGACCAAAGCAGAACACATTGATGAAATGTCCACACATTGGCAATTTTCTCCACAATCACACAAACTTACCAAGTAATATTAGTTGATATTAAGAGATACTATAGGACTGAACTTGGAAAGAACAGCCTTTTGTTTTAGCACCCAAAGAAAATATTTACTTGTTACTAGATTCAGTTCATCAATCATGGTTATTTGCTAAAATTCAAACTCCTGATCATTACATTTCTTGATTCTAGGCCTTCTCTAAACCGTATTGACTTATTTAGTACACACTGATCAGTAAGATACAGCAAACTTGTTGTGAGCAAATAAGAAATCAAGCAGGCCTCGTAAGAGCGGCCAGTGTTTGAAATAGGGCAACATGACTTGGAAATAGTTTTGACTTATATTGTAATTGTGATCTTATTACTGGTATTGTTCTCATTTCTTGAATGTTCTGTTTTTCTTGGAGGCTCTGTACCTTATCTTGAGTCTTTAGAATACAATGTGTAGGCCAGGACCACAATACTTAATTCAGAGAATGGTATTCTAGACAAATGCATCCTAAAACATACACTGCGCATCCTGCTTTTTGGATATTGCATATTGCGATTTTGGAACTGCATGGTTATTTTGAATCCATAGATATACCAACACGTTAATAATGTTACTGAAGTGGCAGCTTACATTCTGTGGATAGACTAATCTTCCTATCAGTGTGGTGTGCTCTTTACTTCTTCTAACCTATATGAAATAAGACACGAGCTGCTGTTAGAGCTGTGAAACTGTGAAGCCATAAAACCTCTGAACGTGTATTTCCTTGCTTTTTGAAGCCATTGTAATGTGCGTATACTCCCCAGATAAATGGCAGAGTGAGGAAGGTCGGGATGAGTTTAAATGGGAGAGGTATTGATCTGTGGTTACTGAATACTGATGCTGCACAGATGATGACTCTGTGGTGTCCCGGAGAACCCGGAGAACCCATTCTGGATCGAGGTTGCCTGTCCTTACGGTGGAAGACATGCCAAGTTATATCCGTACAAACATTTGCACGACCCTCAATCTTTCTCTCTCTCTCTCTCTGCAGTTCTGTTTATAGGTCAGGATGTGCCTCTTAGGTTGTCGAGGCTCTACTTTAAGTCTGTCTGCTCAGGCTTTTTTTTAATAATTCTTTGTATGCAACTCATTCACAGTGATGGATAGGACTCTAGGGAAGCAAAAATATGTCCTTATCATCTTTAAAGAGTCCTCTCCTGCTGATGTTCAGGTGTATATCAGTATGTAGTGTCTCTACTTTAAAGAGTCCTCTCCTGCTGATGTTCAGGTGTATATCAGTATGTAGTGTCTCTACTTTAAAGAGTGCTCTCCTGCTGATGTTCAGGTGTATATCAGTATGTAGTGTCTCTACTTTAAAGAGTCCTCTCCTGCTGATGTTCAGGTGTATATCAGTATGTAGTGTCTCTACTTTAAAGAGTCCTCTCCTGCTGATGTTCAGGTGTATATCAGTATGTAGTGTCTCTACTTTAAAGAGTCCTCTCCTGCTGATGTTCAGGTGTATATCAGTATGTAGTGTCTATACTTTAAAGAGTCCTCTCCTGATGATGTTCAGGTGTATATCATTATGTAGTGTCTCTACTTTAAAGAGTCCTCTCCTGCTGATGTTCAGGTGTATATCAGTATGTAGTGTCTCTCCTTTAAAGAGTCCTCTCCTGATGATGTTCAGGTGTATATCATTATGTAGTGTCTCTACTTTAAAGAGTCCTCTCCTGCTGATGTTCAGGTGTATATTAGTATGTAGTGTCTCTACTTTAAAGAGTCCTCTCCTGCTGATGTTCAGGTGTATATCAGTATGTAGTGTCTCTACTTTAAAGAGTCCTCTCCTGCTGATGTTCAGGTGTATATTAGTATGTAGTGTCTCTACTTTAAAGAGTCCTCTCCTGCTGATGTTCAGGTGTATATTAGTATGTAGTGTCTCTACTTTAAAGAGTCCTCTCCTGCTGATGTTCAGGTGTATATCAGTATGTAGTGTCTCTACTCTGACATGTCTCTACGCTTTAATGTTCAAAAAGCTCTTTACTTTTCTCATACTGCCTGTGCTGCAGCACCTCTTTTCACCCTCTGTCTGAAACCAGAGCCCAGTCTGCTCTGATTGGTTAGCTGGCCAGCTCTGTTCTGATTGTTCAACAGCTTAGAGATGTCCCGCCCCTTAGACTATCACGTACAATGTGTTGGAGCGCTAGCCAATAGAAGCGTGAGTGTAACACTACGGATAAATAAAATAGTCTAATTGAGGCGTTTCAGGCAGGGTTAGGGTTAGCGTGAACATTTGGGATTTCAGCCTTAGATGTTAAATCTATATAACACACTACAAGAAAGGGAAAACCCCCAAAAAGCACGATGGGCCTCTTTAGGGCTTTCAGCTGACTCTCTGAAACAAAAAGCAGTCTCAATATCTTTCTCTGTTGCACGTCAAACACTGTACACTTGTTGCAGGGATGGAGCCGGTGACCTTTAGGGTTGCATAGCAGCCTTCTGTCCTCGTTGTGTTGTGTAATTCTGCTGTTGGCCATCTTGTTCAGTTCTCATGATATTCAGCCTATTGTGTAGCTTTGCAGTCAATGACCTTGTTGATATTGAAACGCACTTAGAAAGACTGTCAGCCTTTCCTTGACATGGAGGCGTCAGTAATTTGAATCTGTATACCTTCTTCCTCACTTCTTCAAAGTCTTTTTCCATTCTGGTTCATCCGTCCTCTTTATTTGTCCTTTTTCTGTATATTTAGGACGGTCTGTGCTCCATTGTCACCTCGTCTCTGGCTCTTTGTGTTCCTGGTATTGGATTGTTTTTTTGTTCCACCCTCACTGCCACTTCACCCATGTGTTCAGCTGGCATTAAGAATCCCTGCAGCCCCCCCCCCATCTCCCCTGTGGATGGATATCCTGCCCAGGTTTCAATGAAATAAGCCTCTTGACTGCTCTCACAAAAAAACAACACAATGCGTTTGTTTGTTTGTTCTGTCGCTGATAAGCCTCATGGAAGAGCGACAAAGACGGGCAGGGGAGGACCAGGGCATGAAGAAGACGAAGGGAAATAGAAAAGAGACAGGGTTCGGAAAGATATCAAGAGCGAAGAAGTCTGTTTAAATCAGAGCAAAGACGATAGAGGGCGGGTAAAAGAAAAAACTGATAACACCTGACAAAGCGGCCCAGTGTGACAAAAAGGATTAAATCCAACTCCCACATCCATTCGGTTGCCAGGTCTTTATCCAAATGCTTTTAAACAACCAGAAGAAAAGCAGCATCTGGCCACCAGCTGCAGGGACTTCAGTGTCACAACAATGGTTTTAGACAATTACAAAAATGTTATCAGTAGCCTAACCTGAGTTTCAAAATATCAAGGTAATTCAACCTGATTACTGTCTGTTACTTTTGGATTACATCAACATGTAGGAGCCTAAACGCCAACAATGAAACCCATGAGCACATACTACAGTTTCAAAGAGCAGACCTAGAATCTGAGCTGACAGAAAATGCTCCGTTTTAGTTTAATACGCAAAGTTAAGCTCACACACACTATTTTATGAACATATAGGTTCACTTACTGAATTAAAAACAGAACAAATGAACCAGAGAAAGTGAGAACCATACAGCAGATTCAGGCAGAAGGCGTTTAGATTCACACTTAAAGTATTAGCCTACAGAACAGAACAGCTTACAGAGAAGAAATAACATCTGATCCCTTTACAACAAACACTAGATGCTCTTTTGAGTTTTTCAGTAACATTGTAATCCTGCTAGTAAACCCCAGTTTTTTATGTAACAGTAATCAGAATAGTTTTTGGGGGAATACAGTTACATTTTTCATACGTGAACCCGTCTTATGTCTCCCAAAGCTTGGTCCAAATGCAATCAAACCCCAAATGACCCTGCCTTTAGACCGTTTATCCAAAGCACCTTGCACTGGCACAGTAACACAGGAAACTGGCAGTTTTAAGTCCTCTTATCTCCATACTACCAATTCCCAAACTGTACCACTCAAACCA